AAGATCAAACTGAATCATATCGACATCATACATTATTGAAGATTTTGAACAAAATCTCATGTGTTACTTAAAAATTGATCTGAACAAAGCCAAATTGAATCTGACGTAATATTTAATTTTATTCGACAGCCATTACACAACCATCTTGAACAACTATCTTCATATTCGATCCAGCTGAATTGATCGGTTTGATGGCAACATTGTATTGCATCTGTTGAACTGGATTAGGTATGCACCAAAACCAAAACTGGTTTTGAAGTTTTGGTTTTGATGGTTTTGGTTTTGGAATAGGTTTTGGTTTTGAAGGTTTTGGTTATAATGATACTAGTCATAGATTTGGTTTTGGTTTTGACATATAATTTGTTTTGAACTATCTGAAAGCTAAAACCAAAACCATCAAAACCAAAGCCATATCAAAACCAAAACCATCAAAACCAAAACCATCAAAACCAAGGGATTTGGCATTGGTGCATGCCTAAACTGGATCATCTTGAGTTATAGCAGCGTGACATCCATTTGCACTTAGAAAAGAATCAATTGTTAGAATAGAAAGAATAATTGTTACATACATTTTATTGTACGTAATTTTGATTTTTTAGATTTTTTTACAGATTTCTTTCAAATTCATTATTGATAAATTTCGTTTAGCAACCGATCGTGCTTGTTTAGTTGGTTGACAACCAACAGGTACATCTGTTAACAGCTGTACTTGACGTAGACGACGAGAATGATCTTTATCAATCCATGATAAGAAGGCCTTTTCGACAATTTGTTGACATCGAACACTATAGAAAAATACGTCTTTATTGTATGTATCAGAAAAAAAGGTTTCAGTGTCTTTCCTTCTGATATCATCTTTTAAAAGTAAACGAACGGCCATTAAAACCTGTAAAGTAGGTATTGACAATCGAGATCTTCCAATAGATTGATTTCGACTCATTGCTGACAACTAGAAGAGAAAAAAATCATAAAATGGAAAATTGTTAAAGTAGAAAAATTAGCAGACTCCACGTTCGCATTCGACCGAATTCGTGGGATAAATCAAATAAACGTTAAGTAAAATAAAAATATTTTTATATTCATCAATAAAAAAATTATTTGTTGATAGTTTGAAAGTAATCAAATATTTCCAAATTTGTTGTTCCGAAACATCATATGAAAGACTTTGTTTATAATCAAATACTACTGGTTTGAATGATTCCCATTCATTTTTAACTAAATTATAATCAAAATCTGGTAAATTTTTATATTTTTTTCGAAGAATATCTAAACTACGTCGACCATATTCTATTGAATCTAATTCATTTTTGTTTTTTATTAAATGTTGAACATCAAATAACATAGATAAATGTTCTTGAACTATTGATGGTTTAAATCGTTTATCTAATTCTTGAAGTAACCGTTGGATATGCTTGCGACAGTCATTAAAAAACATAACACGATCACCTAATTTGATCTTAAAACTACCGAATGATCCTAATTCTGTTGCTTCGATATAACTAGTTAGTGTTGGACCCATAATTGATGTTGATTCAGATCTGCAATGATTTAAAACTGTTTGTTTTTCTTTTATTATATCCATTAAATTAAAATATGAAAGATGATCATGTTGCATGGATTTTGTTATTGGACCTAAAATTTTCAAATCAAAAATCAAAAAAAAGTAACACTATTGCACCGGATTTATCTGAAGAATATATAAACCTACCAAGTACACTTTCATGCAAAGCGTGGTGCATATGTAACTTAAATGAAATAAAAATTCATCATCAAGAATTAACTCCAACAATTTCTCTGCATTTTATTTATCTGTATTTGATGACTTAATGTCCAATGTAGTTTCTTCTAAACAGGTAAGAAGTGCTTGAGAACCTAAAAAAAATAAAATCTCTAAAATATTATATGATAACTAATTTGTATCTAAAGACCTGGTTGAACATTATCGATTGTTGATTTGATACAACCTCTGATTGATGACCAACGAATATCAAATATTCTTTTAAACTTCAGTTCTGGTATTTCCATAAATACCTGCCAGGATTTTTATTTAAACTGTTGTCCAGTACTACGGCCAAAGTAATTGTGTATTTCACCAATTGTTGATTCAAGTTTTTCAATACATGGTGCTCGAATAGGTTTTTGTCCATCTATAATAAAAGAGAGTATTCAATTAGTAAAATTATAATGCATGAAATGCATACGTTGAGCTTTTGATAGGCAGCTTGACTACCAACAAGAGCAAAAGAATGAGCCATACATGGAGATGATTCTATATATTCGATTGAAAATAGCTGTTTCAGTTTAGCAACAACACCTTCATAAATACCTAAAATTGTCCTTCGTCATATTATAAAAGAGTTCGGAATAAAATACTATCACGCTCAATTGTAAAGGTGGGTGCATTATCACTAGCAATCCAACAAGTATTAGCTGGATTAATACCATCTTGTTCCCATAAACGTACGAGTGATTTGACAATATTGTTTGCAGTTCCATCACCATCTAATTCAAGTAAACCATAATAAGATGTTTTTGATTCAAAATTCTCCATGTATCGTACATAAATGATACAAGATTTTTCAGCAGATCTCGACGTGGTTTCATCCATCATCCAATCTGTTAAATTAAAAAAAATAATTAAAAAATTATATTTCAAGGCTAGCATACCTATAACCATGGAGTGGCAAATCTCAAACTGTTACCAGTTTGAAGAACTGAGTGTCAAAATTTTCAAAATTTTAAACTGTTAAAATTTCCAAGACTTGAAATTCTGATTAACTATTTAGTAATGTTGAGCTGTTGGAAAATTTCTGATGTTATAGGAAAAGCGACACCATTCTTCTCAAATTGATTCACAATATCAGATATCAGATATTTACTATCATCCTTCTCTGATTCGATAAATTTTAACTAATACACAAGTTCTTTGGCAAAATGTTTATATGTACAGTCATTTGAATAGTATGTTTATAGAGAAATTCAAAACGACTAGAACTATATAAAACGCATATGATAAAAAACGATCTCAAGAAAAACTAAATAAAATAACGAAGCGTAGATTGAAGAAATTGTCATACTGCTTGTTCAAATGAACTTATACCAATTGTGATACAATTTTTCAGGTGGAATAAAATTGTAAAAAAAAATCGTGGACTTAGGATAATTATATCCTCTAAATGAATTTTTGAATTTTGACATATAGGTAAACATTTTTTCAGCAACTTGTGTATTAACTGAGTTATAGATGTCTTTATGAAATGGATCATCAGGTTTCATAAATATTTTACACATATGTCTTCATAGGCGGCGGAACCATTAGGCTTCGGAAGGCTCAAGCCTCCTCTAAATTTGAATAATGAAGGTTTGGGGAGGCTGAACTTATTCTATTTTTCGGAAAGAATCTTGGACGTTATGATAAAAGGATCGAATAAATAAGTTCTTTTAAAAACAAAACATGAAGGGTCTGTGTCGTTTTCAAAAGCATCACGTAGTTGAACAAGGTATTTTAGTAACTGAGAGTCGTACAAAATCTTCACTATTAATAAGATGTTTTTACTAGAATAGCTTTTTTCGAGAAAGCTAAAGTTTGATGTACTGAAACTCAAATAAGCGTCTAATAAACTGGAGCTATTATCATATTAACCGTAAAATTTAGGATTCGGACGTACACAGAAAAATTACGCAGTTGTCTTCGTTTGGTATAGCAAAATAGAAGAAAAGAGGGAAGAAATCAAATGAAAAATTTCAATAATTCTCAAAAAAGACGAAAGAAATCATCAAAATATATAAAACGAATAGATAAAATAAAAAGAGAAAAAAGATACGCGTGCATATTTTCTATTTGAATATTCTCAGATAGATGCGCTTCAGTGATTTTTCTCCTGCTCCCTATCGTTCTCAAACCAACAGAAAGTAAAAAGGTACGTCACTTATACGAATAGAAGCACATGTTTTAGCGTGATAATTTAAAAAGAATAATACAGAACGTTAAAAACATTGACTCTCAACAGCCCACTTCCTTTCCCAAAAATATATTTGCGTATATATCAAAACGTCGACGTTTTTGTCTCTTTCGGAAGTGCGTAGTCTTTTTCATGAATCAGATAAACTTCTTTTGAACATCTCCATTTTTAAACTAATTTATTTTGATTTTTGAGCATTAATGAAAATTAAATATATAGATTGAAAGTGGAGAAGAATATCTTATTTTCGACGTTTCGAACAACTAAGTGTTCATTTTCAAGATCAATATCATAACCTAGTATCTAATATGATTAATATTAAGTACCAACATATATTTATAAAATTATTGAATTAATTATTGAAGCCCATACACCGCATGTAATAATTTTAAACTAATTTATTTTGATTTTTGAGCATCAATGAAAATTAAATATATAGATTGAAAGTGGAGAAGAATATCTTATTTTTGACGTTTCGAACAACTAAGTGTTCATTTTTAAGATCAATATCATAACCTAGTATCTAATATGATTAATATTAAGTACCACTAGGCATGCACCAATACCAAATCCCTTGGTTTTGATGGTTTGGGTTTTGATATGGTTTTGGTTTTGAGTTTTTGGTTTTGATATAGTTTTAGTTTTGGCATAGGGTTTGGTTTTGATGGTTTTGGTATTAGCTTTCAGATAGTTCAAAACAAATTATATGTCAAAACCAAAACCAAAACCAAGACCAAAACCAAATCTATGACTAGTATCATTATAACCAAAACCTCCAAAACCAAAACTATATCAAAACCAAAACCATCAAAACCAAAACCTATGTCAAAACCAAAACTTCAAAACCAGTTTTGGTTTTGGTGCATGCCTAAGTACCACCATATATTTATAAAATTATTGAATTAATTATTGAAGCTCATACACCACATGTAATAATTTTAAATTAATTTATTTTGATTTTTGAGCATTAATGAAAATTAAATATAGGGTGGGTGTGGGTGTGATGGAGCTGCCAATATCTAGATTTCATCCCGGCTAAAGGAATCATCAGTTGGCTTTAACATTATCGTATTTGTTCGAAATAATTCCGATGAATCATAAATGAAATACACAAATCTGTGCACCCATGTAAATATTTTTTTGATCAAAACGCGTCTGAATGGCGTTTCGTTGCGTTTAAATCGCAGCAAAGAAACGCAATAAAACGCGTCTCCAGTGAAACATTTCTTGCGTCTAGACGCGGTCTCATTTTGAACTGCGTCTGCCCGCGTTGTTAGAAGTCGCGTCTAGACGCAAGAAATGTTTCACTGGAGACGCGGTTCTAAATCACATCGCGGCTAGACGCGGCTGGAGAAAATCGCGTCTAGACGCGTTCGATTCGATATTTAAAATTTTTAAAAAATATTACAATCCGTCTCAGGTTTGATCTGAGTCGCCATCGATATCCTCTAACGATAGTCTTTACCTCACCATAGGCAAACGGAATGTTTAAATGTTGATATATCTAAAATGATAGAAATGAGATTAGAACAAGTGAACTAGCGATTAAGAAGCAAGTATACGTGCCGTGAAGCCACATGTGACCACAATCGTTCTCGAATGAAGCAGAAAGTATATATGAATCATGAATTTATATCTTATTTACAAATACATATATCAATAGAATGCTTTCTGTATAAATAATATTTTTATTATTAACATATATATATGTGTGTATGAAAAAGAAATCCATTAAATAAACTGTATATATATTTAAAAACTTTCCTTAAATTGCTACAAACTTTTCCTTTTGAAAAAAATATTTCTTCACATTTTTTCTATAAAATTTATTGTTTTCAATTTAAAATACTACCGATGTTTCAGAATCTATTATTTGCTTATTATATTTTATTAAATAATATGTATTTATTTTGTCTTTCTTTTTCCTTACGTAATAAAACTATCAAAAAAGATTTTCGATTATAACTTTCACATTTAAAAAAAAATTCATTGAGAGATTTCAAGCAACCTCAACAAAATTTGCTTCTGATTAGAAAAAAAAACACAGTTGAGCTAAATGAAAACTTATCAAAAAGTTAATCATTTTTATCAATAGATTGATGTCTTCATCGACATAATCATTTTTCTATGCTATAAAGTACGAATATAACAAGCGTACAAAAGACACAGTCACATTTATAGCGCACTAATTAATATGATGGACAAAAAATCATGAAAAAAAACGTGAAAATAGTTGAGCACTCAACATTTTTTTTAAATATTTCAATTTTATAGATGATATCGGCAAATAATAATTTGATGGATGTAGAACTCGTGTCTATTTTTTTTGTTGGCGTTTTCGAATATAAATGAATATAATATATAGGATTATGTGATGCAATAATTTCTCTTTCTGTTAATCGAACTTCATTATGTAAAATGATTCAGATGATGATATACTAAATGAATTCATCGAAAAATGAGTGTAGAATAGTTTTTATATATCTGTAATATATATGCAAACTTTAAATATCAGCATCGGTTATGATAGTTGAGAATCATACTTTTTTTCATTAGTCAGTAATTGATAACAAGATGATGCAGTCTCGTTCGTATATCCCAAATACAACCTGCTAGAGATGGTTTAACCTGATATTTTGAGTCTAATACAAACAAATAGACAATCTTCAGATTTCTCAATACGTAATTCACTATTCTTATACATATCCAGGACATTTTCGGCACACGTCTTTATAACTGTTTGTAGAAGAATGGTGTCTCCAAAACTTATGAATCTATAACGCTATTGAAGGCAGTGTATAGCATGAATGAGTGGTTGACTTTCAAAATGATGAGAAGCACACATATATTTTTAATACTTTAGCTTTCCTCTTCTCGCCTATATTTCTACAAAATATTTTTTGCATCAAAGCGCGCCTGAACCGCATTACGTTTCCGTCTAAGTCGCGGCAGTCAAAGGAGTCTAGATGTGTTTAGAAATGAAATCGCGTCAAGGCACTTTTGGACAGTTTTTATTAACCGCATGTAAATGCAGTTTCATTTAAAATCGCGTCCAAACGCGTTTCGAACTTTTCTTTAACCGCATCTGAATGCGATTCATATAAAACTGCGTCTAGACGCGATACATACTGACTTTTAACCGCGTCTAGAAGCGGTTTGAAATTAAATCGCGTTCAGACGCGATTCAAACTAAAACCACGTTCCAACGCGGTTTTGGTTTGGAATCGCGTCTCCACTGAAACATTTGTTGCGTCTAGACGCGGTTTTAGTTTGAATCGCGTCTGACCGCAGTTTGTTAGCAATCGCATCTAAACGCGATTTAATTTCGAACCGCATCTAGATGCATAAAATGTCTCACTGGAGACGCGATTCCAAATCGGATCGCGTCTAGATGCGGTTCGAAATAAAATCGCGTCCGGACGCATTTGAACAGTTCTTATTAACCGCGTTCAAACGCGGTTTCATTTACCATCGCGTCCAGGCGCGCTTAAAAATTTTCTTTAACCGCATCTGGACGCGGTTGCAATAAAATCGCGTCTAGACGCAGTAAAAATCGATTTTAGCCGCGTCTGAATGCGGTTTACAACAAAACCGCGGTGGAACGCGTATATCCTGCGTTTGGTGTTTACATGGGCAGAATCATACAATCGTAAAAGAAAGTATAGAACAACATTTATCCCTATAAGCAATGTATGTGTCGGAATGCCAAGATCCT